ACGAATTAAGAACCCTAAGCTTTTCAACGCAGAAGCAACTGTATTTTCAATATAATCCGAAAAAGTAACTTTTTGGTTGAATAATATACCTTAATCTTCAATTTGTGCACAAGTCCGATAAATGTAGGCTGTAAAATAAATAATCAAACTCCACCTTGTTAATATTTCTAGTATAGGAACATACTTCACATTTAGACACATTCATAAACAGCTTGTTTTCATTACACCAATTTTCAACGATTCCCAAGTTGGGTCTGTAAAAAGTAACAGTCTTGAATTGATGAGATTGAGGTAAATATTTTTAAGTCAGCAGCGAACAGCAGGTTAAATATATTGCCAAGTCATTTATGAATATACTAAATAATAGTGGCCCCAGATTGGAGCTCTGTGGAACTCCAGATGTTGCTGTGAGGGGTGAAGATGAAAATCCGTTGTAAAAGACATAATTAAAACGATGATTTAGGTAAGATGTAAATAATCTCAACAGCGAATGATCAAACCCTAAGCATTCCAACTTCCTTACAAGAATATTATGATTTTCAATTATTACAAAATACATTATGGGCAGGTTGTACAAAAAATATTCTAAACATATTTTAACTAACAAGAGTTTTATTTTTAACTAGTTATATTCAAAAACAAATGTCATTTTTAAAACTATGTTTAACAATAACCGATGAGTATACAACAAGGTTCACAGTTTAAACTAACAGCCGTATGCATAGTCGATCGCCAGCGACTCGCCAGTGATTCATTTCGGCGTATCGCCAGCGATCCGCCGGCGAAAGCCCAAAAAGCTGGCGACTCGCCGGAGATTGTCACCGGAATGTCATTTCACGCAAGTTTTCATGTTCTTTTATAGGGAAAAATTTGATATTCGTTCATTATTTTTTGAGTTTTAAGAAATGGATCATGAATAAAATGCGAGAGATACCGGTGATAATCCCTATAAAAGAAAATAAAAACTTGCGTGAAATGACATTCCGGTGACAATCTCCGTCGAGTCGCCAGATTTTAGGGCTTTCGCCGGCGGATCGCCAGCGAATCGCTGGCGATACGCCGAAATGAATCTCTGGCGAGTCGCTGGCGATCGACTATGCATACGGCTGTAAGTCTACAATTTAACTACCTATTGTAAAATCCGCCATATGTACAATTCAAAATTAATTGTATTTCTTTAAAATGCACTTGATTCTGTTGATCAAAATCATTCGATAAAAAAATTAAAAAGTATTGGTATAAAGGTGGTTTTTATATCTATGCTAAAAAGCATGCATTGGGGTAGCATGTAGATTATCTAAGTATCAGGTCAGAGAGATTAAAATTAAATAACATATGTAGTGGGATTCTCATCTTTTGAGTACATCTCCTATCGAGACTCCTATCTTTGTTCGACAGACAGTGATTTTGATGTAATGTCTCTCTCTATTCTGTATGTAATGTGTCGAGTTGGCACAAAAGAATCGCTGTTCAGAAGAAATTAACCACATCAAAGGAAGAAAATTAGGTCCCCTGTTATTTTTAATTTATATTAATGATTGTTAATGTTGCAATAATTATTATGACATTTACCTGTTTGCCTATGATGCCCTTATCTATGTTGTAAGGAATCAGATAACTAAGAGTTAATTGCCAATGAAACTCTGCAAAATATTTATAAATAATGTTGCAATCATTTGTTAAAAATCAACACAAATACCTAAAAAAAAATATAAGCTGATAAGTAATAACTATATGCAGTTTGTGGACAAACAATATAGGAAATTGGAAGAAAATCTATACAGTTAGTAGAAAAATTCAAATATTTGAGGGTAACAGATGAAATTCACAGACCATATGCAAATACTGTTATCAAAACAATTGCAGTTAAATTACATTTCCTATTTAGAATGTTATTAAAATAATTATTGTTATATTATTACATTATTTTTTTACTAAATTTGAATATTGTGATATTAGTAAACTAGCCAAATAAAGAAAATAAAAATAAAATAAAAACCGAAAACATACCTGGATCTACAATAATATATATAAATAATATAAGTACATTGCATCTTTTAAATTATTAAAGTCCATTAAATTGAAATGACACGTCAAACCATAAACGTCAAACTTTCAAAACAAACATGCTTGTGTTCCAAACAGAAAATAGCATTTATAGAATAATTTATTTACTTGCAACCTTTACCCGCACACCATCTCGCCCCTCACCCATAAACATGGTCAAATTGGGCTAAGCCATTTTACCACATACTTTGATTTTCTTTTACTATACGGAGAATGGTCGCACTGCGCAGCTTTCTGAGTGCCTTTTAAAAGGAGATAGAAAACTCCGCCATTTTGAACCCTTATTACGTGTTGCCTACATCTTGGCGCAATATTTTTAATAGATGCGTTTTAATCATCCTCTTCTGCTTCGGAATTGTCGGTTTTCTTGTTTTAATCTGACAGGTTAGAACGACTAAACCGACAATTCCGGAAGCAGAAGCGGATGATTAAAACGCACCTGATATTTTGCTTGCTGCTGTCAGTGTCAGTGAATATTATTTTTGAAGTTACAGTTTATTACTTAAGAATCAGTTAGCTCACTCGGACCAGTTGAAAGTTCCAAAATAACATCCACTCCAGGGATACAAATTCAGGATACGCAGAAGACTGCTGTTTGAATATAGGCGGTTGTCATAATTGTATTATTCGAGTGGCGCAGTGTATAAACTGGAACATTGAGATCAAAAGTGCCGACGCAGAGTGAGCGATCTGATTCTTTATCTATAAACTGTTGCATAGGGTTCAAAATGGCCGCGCTCTATGTTGGGCGTGTCGGACCTCTTTCTTGCGCCGTACAGTAAAGAAAATCAAAGTATGTGCATTTTACATTCGTCTGCATAGGGAGCCATGTTGCTTTTTCAATTTTTAGTGTCTATTCCGTCTGTTCAGATGGCAGCATCTTATGGGCCCTACATTTTTAAATCTTATCACAAGAATCCTGAAATAATTAGGCAAAAATAAAAGAATGTATGTTGCGTTTTAACTTTTAAATACTATAAAAAATGATGGAAAGTCCATAACTTTTAAATATTTGTTAAATATCACTTATTAAAATATTATGCATTAAAAGTAAAACAAACCATAGACTTTCCATCATTTTTTACAGTTTTTTGAACCCATTTATGAAAACAGTTTTTGAAAATATTATCGTTCAGAGCTGTATTTCTTGTGATAAAAAAGTCGCCGTCACTTGTCATTGAACTTGGCCTTAATTTGACATTCGACTAAGAGGAAAACAGTGGTTCATTCCACTTGTACAATATTGACATTATTATGCACGATGCACGTTAAAAGTAGATCTGTCTCTGTTTTTATAATACTATTACGGCAGGACAAACGATAACCGTGGATTTCGCCAAACGAACATCAGAAAAGTGTTGCCAACTTAAGCTGACTACTATTTCCCCCCTAGCCTCAATCACCCTCTCATCCATTTACTGGGTCTATGTCGCGACCCCCTAGTTGTAAATTCGTAAAATAAGATATTCAGCGTTGCCGCATTTACGGAGTTCTTTGTAACCCTAATATTTTGTTTAGATTAATATTGATTTTCAATAAATAATTTAGCTTATATTAAAACTTTAAAGAATAATTTGATTAAAAACATATTTTTATTTATATATAATATAAAATTATAGTTATAGGATACATCAAATTTTATTTTTCGAAAGTAATTTCTCCAAATAATTTTTACAGACTGATAAAATCGGCAAAGACGCAATAAACGAGAATCTGGTAGGAATAATGATTTGCCACATAAAAATGTAAACAATTAGGTATCTTAGTTGTAACGTCTTTGCCTAAGTCTAATGTGTTGTCTTTGAAAAATTAACCTATTCTGTCAAAATAAAAAAATATCTTCAATTAATTAGGGTAAAGTAAAAATGTAGAAACAGAAGGAGTGTTATTTATATTTTTAATTTAGTTCGAAAGAAAACAGAATGAATGATTAAAACTGGTTTTCTATCAGTAAGTCACAAAATTGCATTCCAGCTACATACAATAATCAAAAGCAGAAATTTAGTTCTTACTGCATGAATATTTAAGATTAAAGGGATGTTGAAGAACATCGTGAAATTATATTTGTTTATTTAAAACCTTTCAAGTTTCTAATGTCTACTATTTCCAGTATTTTACTGTTATTATTACAAAAATAAAGGTAAATTTTCTTCTTATTGTACACATCCATTTATTTCTTTGATTTAATTTCCACTTTGCTACTGAACATTTTTATAATTTACACCGTTTTTTTGCTAGTATTTTTACAATTTTTAATACAGCAACTCCGGTTGCTTATTGTATTGTTTTTACCTACTTTTTAAAAAAAGTAAAATGTATACCTACATGTATTTGATATGCCAAAATTACAAAATATCGCCCTAAAATGCACGAATTATCCGCAGTTAGCACTAGTTTTGCTTTTGCTTCCCCTACCATGACTTCGTACTGAGCGATCTCGCAGTGTCAGGGTAAATATTAATATTTCTATTTTTTCCAGCTATAATTTGAACAAACCACATCAAGAACAACAAACCTAGGAATAATAGCTTATGTCGTAAAATAAAATATCGTCGGGTAATTCTAATACCTCGTAACCCTCATTTTTGGAAAAATAGATTTTTTCATCAAATTGTCACAATTACATAAACGCATTGTTACAGAAAATATCTGGTAGCAAACAAAAGAGGAATTAGAATGACGCCATGGTATACTCGTATTTTTTGTAAACTAATTATAATAATAATAATAATGGTTCTTCTAATAATTATATATTTTATTTCGTGAACTTGTAAATTTCATTATTTCAGGTATTTTTTGATTCGTCACTTTTATCAGGTATCAAAATTGGTTTTTTTTATACACGACAATAAGGATATGTGGTTAGGACAGTTATCTCAAATGTAGCTCTCGCCTATAATGCTTTTATTTTTATTTTTATTTTTATTGTTTCAAACAAGGTAGTGCAACAACATTAAAATGAATATTGGAAATATATTTACGTTCAGCAATTCAGAATTGGTGTTTTTTCTGCAAAAGGTAAGTTTCTTGAGTAACAGTGAATATTGGGATACTTCTAGTATTTTTTTCTGAACATTTATTCCCCCATCACATTTTTTAGATTTACTTCTTATTTTTCTATTATAGATTGGACAACATGAAGCTTCAAAAGTTACACAAAAATATAACATGGATGGGAAAATGTTTTTGGTAAGACACAAAACCTTTTGATCAGGGGTTCCCAAACTTTTTAGTCCGCGGGCCGAGTGTCCTAACTATTTAATAAAAAAGTGGGTTGTAAAAAGCTATAGCTGGTTGGTTATATATGTATTTCTATGATGTAGGTTCAACCTAATATACCTATATACACTTTTATTTTTCAAATATAAACTTTTTAATACATAACAAAAATATTTTTATGTAATACAATTAAAAAATCTCTTTGTTTTTAACATTTATAACAACATTTTCTTACAAATTAGGACGTACTGAAGTGACATGTATGAAACTTATATTTTGACGTTTTATCCTTTATATAACAAATGAGTTATTCTATCATAATTTTTGTTTATTTAAGGGCTAAATTGAAAATGTTTTTTCACAAATATAAGTACATCCGAATAACTAAGCCATTTGATAAGCGAGATAAATTTAAGGAATGAAAAATTAACTTTTTAAAAATTTTTATTTTACTTAACAAACGTTTTACTCTGATAAAAAATAAGGAATGACAATTTTACAATTTTACATATAAGTTAGCTTGTGCTGACGAAGCAGGTCGAAGACCGGCTTGCAAACTTGCACTTAGAGTTCATATAACTCCTCCCCTGTTAGATGAAGGCTTCGGGTTCTTCAGAAGTCGAAGGCTGAATAATTTTGGGTTCCGTTTCTTTTTTGAATAATTTCTTCATATGTTTGTTTTTCCACAAAAAACAGCCAATGGTTAGGATCACCAGGGTGCTGATAAAGGACCATTGGAGCCAAGTTTTTGATTTTGGTTCATTGATGTCATCTATGGAAAATTGATTGATAGCTGATATTTGATTTTGAATTTTGTGTATATCTTCTAATGGAATGCTGTCTATGGATAATGGTTTTTGCTTCAAAGTATGAAGATGTGCGTTGTCACTATGGATAGTATGTAAAATTAGTGGTTTTCCGAAAGTTCTGGTTGTGCTGAAACCAAATTTATAATTTGAAACTTCAATGCTGCAATTTTTGGGAACATGGACCAAAGCGTTATTGCGAATTGTGATGTATTGGTCATCAGGACATCTAGATTTGATTTTCATTTCTTCTGTCGTAATGATTATCAAATATTCATTATTGACTTTATTGAATATTTGGATCGGATATTGAATAGGTGTATGGATACAGGTGGCTTCTTCATCTTTGATGAGGGTGGCAATGCAAACGTCGGTTTTAGTTTCTAACTTTTCTTGTTGACAAATGTAGTTTTCCTCCAGAGGGATGCAGATATCTTCCATATATTGGTGTTTCTCGTCAGTCAGAGCCAAATAAGGTTTTTCGGGTATGATAATGGTATCGTTTTTGGTAGGAATTGGGTAGAGGTGAAAATATTGGAATAATTTTGGAAAAACTATAGGGATTTCTATGGCAAAAATTATTTTATCATTTGTGAAATAACAATTTGTGAATATTATGGAATACCAAGAATTTAAATCTATATTTAAAATTTCGTCAGTTTTGTAATTTTTTCGTAATTTACTTAATGCATTTTTTAGTTCTCGTGGCGTTAATATATCCGGGTGAATAGTATGTAATTTAGCGAAAGTTACGGCATTTTCTAAGTTTTCTAGAAAATTCGTAATTCTAATAGCATTTATAAAGATTTGATCAAGAATATTAGAATATATAGAGAATTTATAAAATTCATCTGCCAAGCCATCAATATAAGATTGGTAGTTTCTAATGTATTGTGAAATGTTCTTTTGATTATTAATTATTGAATTTAAAGTGTTTGAATATTTATCTATTATTTCGTTTGATAGTGAGATTTGTGAATTTATTTCCTGGACTATATTTTGTTGATTATTTTTTAATGTGTTTATTGCTTTCTCGAATTTTTCTCCATCTGTTGCGTCGAGAGTACCGAATAAACATTTTTGAATACTACCTCCCATGTTTACTAATCCACGTCGATATCTAGAATTTTTAAATAAATTTATAGTTTCTAACTTATTTGGTAATTCATTAATAATAGGTCTTAAATGATCATATTTATTTTTTTAGAGATAATGAGTAAATAGATTTTTCGAGATTCGTGGAATTGTTAAGTGCTTCGTATGAGGCTATTGTCTCCGTAATTTGAGAGGCAAGGGATTGTATGTCTATGTTATGTAAAAAGATATGTTTGTTAGCAATAATGTGTGTGAAACCAAGTTTAAAAGGAAGAATACCCGGTGAATTACTGATATCAGTAACAGTTATCTCTTGACTTTTAGTTTTCGTCATCAGTTTCAACAGAATTAGTAGGGTCATTAGTCTTGGTGTCATTTTGTCCCTGTAAAGAAGAAAACGGTTTCTTGCTCCTTTATGTGAATAATATATTTTTTATTTTTATTATTTTCAATTTCAACTTTATTTCTATCTAATAACTTCGTTATGGTAAATGGTCCAATAAACTTATTATTTTTCTTATTCCTATAGTATGGATTTTTCTTATAAACTACTTGATTAACTTTAAATTCTACATTTTCATTACCATTTACATTATGCTTACTAATTAATTTTTCTTTACCTTTAACTAAAGATTCATTAACTTTATTATATACATGTTCTATTTTATCTTTATGATTTTGGACATAACTTGAAAATAACTCTTTAGGCATAAATATTTCTTCAGGATTTCTGGAATTTGTATGTCCGAATACAAGTTCGAAAGGTGTTGAACCAGTCGCACTGTGTATTGAGCTATTATATCCAAGAATGGCATAATTAATTAAATCATCGTCATTAGGGTACAACTCTTTTAGGATTCGTAAATGTTCGATCAACGTTGAATGGAATCGTTCAATAATTTTATTTTATGTAAATTTAGAAGTTCACGAACTGTATCATTTTTAAACTCTGTACCACTGTCTAGGACAATTGTTTTAGGTATACCGAAACTTGCAAAATATTTTGTTAAACCGTCACAAATGTTTATTGCTGTTTTTCCGGGAATGGGGATAGACTGAGCAAATTTTGAAAAAGGATCAATTATTGTTACATAAATCTTTTTATTATAGTGAAAAATGTCTATATGTAATATTTCAAATGGTTTTAAGGGTGTTTCAGTTAAATTTAGTGGTACATAGGGATTTTTTCGAGCATATTTAGTTCGCTGACAGATGTCACAAGAATTAATATATGAAGTGATTGTTTTTTGCATATTTGTCCAATAATAATTTCGCTTTAAATAATTTAATGTTTCCTCAATACCTCGGTGATTTGTTTTCCCTTCATGATGATTTTTTATTAACATTATTTGTTCATCGATATCTTTAATAGTATTTACTAAACGTGTACACATGACTAATTTTAAAATATCCTTTTTAAATATCTCTGTATATATTTCATTAAATTGAGGTACAAATTTTCTATCATCAAAATATATATGGTAGGTTTTATTAGGACCTAAATAATTTTTTAGAAAATCTATTATTTGCTTTCGATTATTTTCTAATGGTAATTTTAAGGTTATAATTTTTTGCTTATTATAATTTTCGGTTTTAACAACTATTTGTTCATTATTGTGTTTAAAAACTAAGATTTGATTATTTTTATTGTTAATTATTTCGTCTAATATGAGAATGCCATCATTTTCGACTTCTTTGGAAAGTGAATGTGGAGTCTCATCAGAATCAGATTTATTTGGAGGTTGTATTTGAATATCTAAGATTATTTTTATTTTTGATTTATTTTTTTGTTTATAACTAGGGCCAGCTTCTTCGAAATCTTTATCAGAAATGTAATTATTGGGGTTTTCGGCTATATTTTTTAAAATTTCTAAGCTTTCTATATTTATATCACCTGGGTTATTATCTGTAGATTCAGTTTCAAGAGCATTTAATTTAATTCTATTTAAAGCATCTGCATTACTGTTTAGTTTGCCTTTTTTGTAAACTATTTTGTAATCATACTCCAATTTGAGACGCCATCTTATTAATTTTGAATTGGGTTCCTTCAAATTGAACAGCCAGACTAACGGGCGATGATCAGTTTGAATAGTAAAGGTTTTCCCAAAGAGATATGCACGGAAATACTTTCAGGCCCACACAATTGCCAGAAGTTCTTTCTCTATTGTGCTGTACCTCTGTTCCGTTTCGTTAAGAGTTCGTGACGCGTACGCCACTGGTTTATCCTGACCTACGAAACCTTGAGATAATACTGCACCGAGGGCAACGTCTGATGCGTCGGTGGTTAGTATAAAAGATTTTGAAAAGTCAGGATACTGAAGAATCGGACTATTGCATAAAATTTTCTTACAAGTGTTAAAACATTCAATAAAATTTTGATTGTGAATTACTTTCGCATTCTTTTTCAAACAAATAGTCATAGGTTTTGTAATATTGGCGAAATCTTTAATGAATCTACGATAATAGCCTAACAGACCCAAAAAGGATTTTATTTCTTTTTGTGTCCGTGGAATTGGGAAGTTTTGAACTGCCCTTATTTTATCGGGGTTAGGTTTCACTCCCTCAGGTGTGATAACGTGACCCAAATAAGCAACTGTTTTCTGTAAAAACTCAGATTTATCCAATTGAATTTTGAAATTTGCTTTTCTCAACCTATCAAATACATCTCTATCTCTAGAAATATGTTCTTGTAATGAAGTGCTAAATATTAAAATATCATCTAAGTAAACAATGCAAATGACATTATTTAATCCTCTTAGGACATTGTCCATGACCCTTTGAAAGGTCGATGGAGCATTTTTAAGTCCAAACGGCATACGAGTGAACTCGTAGTGGCCATCGAGAGCCGTAAATGCCGTCTTTGGTATGTCTTGTGCATCAATTTCTATTTGATGATAACCAGACGCTAAGTCTAAGGTTGTAAAATAATTCGCTCTACCTAGCTTATTTAACATTTCCGTAATGTTAGGTATAGGATACTTATCACTAATACTTTTCTCATTTAACTTCCTATAATCTATAACTAAGCGATAATTTTGTACACCTGTCTTATTATTAAACTTTTTTGGG